GAAAATGAAATGCCCCCCAAAAAGTAACATTTAATGATTTAGTTGCAAGTGAATTTTAAGACGCAAAAAGAAATATAAAAAGGGCATGAAAAGAAATGCAGGAACTAAAAATTTCAAGACAAAAAGTCTGAAACTAAATTAAGATAGGAGGAAAATATATATTCATGCACACTGTAAAAAGGCTGCAGCCATCTTCACAGGTTTGGCTTGCTCCAGCGCCCCCCTACCGCCCCCCTTCTGCTCCAGCGCCCCCACATCGCCCCTTTTCGTTCTACCGCCCCCCTGAAAAATGAAATCGCCCCTTGGGGGGCATTATCGCCCATGTTAAGAACCACTGATCTAGGCTATTCAGTTTCTAGTTGTAAATGAATGGATGGATGGATGGATTAAGAAATATTTTTTTCCTCCTCCTCTCTTCCCAGCTCAGTGTTTCAGTGTGTATTGGATTTCTGGCTGCTTGGACCCCTTATGCCATTGTTTCCATGTGGGCTGCCTTTGGTGACGCCAGTCAGATTCCAGTCCTGGCATTTGCGCTCTCTGCTGTCTTTGCCAAGTCCTCGGCAACCTACAACCCTCTGGTGTATCTGCTTTTCAAGCCCAACTTCCAGAAGTTCCTTTCCAAAGACCTGTCCCTGTTGCAGGCCGTGTGTGCCGTCTTCTGCTGCAGCCGGCCCAGAGTCATCGCCCTCAAGTCTTTCCACACCCGGGACGGGAGGGCTTCCATGCGATACTCCACGGCTTTCACCGACCACCGGGGATCCTGCAGGAACTGCACAGACACGTTTGAATGTTTCCGGAATTATCCACGTTGCTACAGGCTCTCCCAGAAGCCTGACTCTGCCTCCAAGACCAACCCCCTGGCGATTCTGACGGATGGAAGTGCTTGCCGGCCAAGCCTGAAGCGAACCGTGCAGGTCATGGTGCTCGTGACGAAGAAGAAGACAGGGATGGGGACTGTGAATGTGGTGGGTGATGTTTTGCCATCCAGTATTGCAAGAGACCTGATGTAAGCATGGCGAGAAGGGGCAAGGGTTCTGAACAGAGGTGGAAAAAGTTGTTTTTTGGGTGATAACTCCCAGCATAGCCATATTAACTGTGGCATTCTGGAAATTGAAATCCAAAACAAAAGAACCACCATTTCCCACCTCTGCTTCAGAGGCAGGGGTAATCCATCTTCTGCCTAGACCAGATACATTTATTTGGTATCAATCTAAAAATCCATCTTTGGTCCATATGTTTAGTGGTTCCCAAAGTGTGCTTTGCAGGTTGGAGAATACTGCAAAACTTACACCAGCATTCCCCCCCCCCTTCAAACATCCTCACCTTTATTTATTTGTTTGTTTGTTTGTTTGTTTGTTTCACTGTTGCAATTTTGTGCCAACGATTTAGCACCTGAAAGGAGGGGGAATCAATAATAACAATTCCTATCCTCTCTCCCCTCCACCTGCACCTTTGAGCCCCTTTCCTCAAATCTGTCTCATAAGATCTTTGGGCATCATCGGTGATATGGCAGCACCCCCAATATTTTGGCAAAAATATATATATATGCAAGGATCGAGTGCCACCTGTGTGGTCTGCATTCCGCAGCATGGTGGCCAGTTTGTTTGGCTTGTGTTCCATCAATCCACATCAATCCATGCCATTGCATCGGAGGCAGGTAGAATTAATGGTTCACATAATTAGAGTGCAAAATTTTAATTCAATCTTGCTGTGCTCGCAATAGCTCAAACAGAGAGGGCCTCTTGCTCCTCAGAGATAATGTAGTGGACCTGCACTGCAATGCAGATTATCTGCACATCCAGTGTTCAGCCAGCGCAAGTACCTGGCTGATACAGAGGCTAATGCAGTCCTATGGTATCTGTAGCAAGATTGGGTAGTAAGATTGCTCCATAATTAGAGATGAGGGTATTCATATACGAATATCCCTGCACGGGTGGTGTTAATGGGGGTCCAGCCCCATGGGGCCAGATGGTCCACTCACTGATCTGCCGTGATTCTACGAATGTCTCTGCATCGCATGATCTGCTTGCCACTCTTTAACCTTGCAGCGAGGTCTCCTGCCAGGAATGGCAAGCGGATTGCATGCTGCGGAGCCATTTGTGGAATCACACTGTCCACGTCCACAGCGGATTGGTGAGTGGGCCGTCCGACCCCATGGGGCTGGACTCTCATTAACGCCACCTGTGTGGGGATATTTGTACTCGTACACAAATACCCCCATCTCTACCCATAATTCCTCAACAGCGTTGCCCTGTTTTTCTTCTTTTTAAAGTTCGTCCCGTACCAACATAAATCCAGCCACAGGTGCAGAAGCAACTCATGTGCATTAAAATTTTAGAGATTATATTTTTACATGTACACACAGAGAGGTGAGACTCCTGTTAGACAATGCAAAGCATCATGGCTGTGCAGGTGGAGCATTCCATGTTCTCTCTGTCTCCACCTTGCATGCAACAGCCTGTCTTGCATGCACTTAGAACAAATAGGATTATTTCTTCTTCTTCTTCTTTCTTAGTGGAGCATTCCATGTTCTCTCTGTCTCCACCTTGCATGCAACAGCCTGTTTTGCATGCACTTAGAACAAATAGGATTATTTCTTCTTCTTTTTTCTTATTTAAATGGTGAAGGAACACATCTCCCCCAAAAAGCATCCAGGGGGAGATCTAAGATATCAGAGGTGCTATTCCAACTTTTCCAACCTTACCTCTTTAGCCTCAAGTCAGTTGTGAGACCTTAACAGTGAAAGCGTATCGTTTCCCTGCCTGTTTGTCAGGGTTAAATGACATCCATCTACCTCACAAGAGAGGCACGTGTAGGTGAGGCACCCTAATGTCTACAAGTGCTTTGAAGACAACACCACTCAGTATTAACGTCTTTTATTATGTGTCCATCGTGAATTTAGTGAGCAACAATTGCTTGAGGCCTGAGAACAAAGGCCCGTTCTGTAAGGAAGAACGTTGACCAACAGTCACTCGCTCTGTGCCAAAAACAAGGCACAGAAGATACTGGACTCCAAAGACACAACATTCTTTCAGGATGGCTTGTGGCCACAAAGTCTGGGTTTTACAGCCAGCTTGCTGAGCGTTTTGACATCTTTTCACTAATGAGGCAAGACATTCTTCAGGATAGAAGGGCCAGGGCTGGGGAAAATGATCCTGAAGACTTTAATAACAAGTAAGGATGTGCCATTTGTTTTTATATTTTGAGGTTACAGCAACCAGAATTCTCCAAGAATCCCCCAGGCAGAATTCTGGAAGTTCCTGCCCACAGATGTACACCTGCATTTCACTCACCTGGAACAAGGCCTATCTTCCAGGATGTCTTGGGCCTACTTCCAGTACAAAAAGGAAACTTTCTCAATACTTCCTGGGAGGCCTAGGTCTTTGTGGGAGTTGTAGTCTTGCTCTCTATTAGACTCTGAAGAGGGCACTCCCAAAGAACTATACCTGTCACGAAGACCTAGGCTTCCCAGGAAGCACTGGGGCAGTGTCCTTTTTGTACAGGTAGTCAGTCTGAGACAGCCTGGAAGAAAGGGTCTCTTCCAGGTGAGTGAAATGTCGCTGTGTGTTTGTGGGCAAGAACTCTCAGAATTTTGCCAAGGGAATTCTTAAAGAGTCCCCTGCCTCCCCAAACAACCCAAATGGCAGGTATCTAATGGTAAGTCCTTTGATTTCGGTGCTAATGAAGCTGTTCCTTTCAATATGGCACAAATGAACAAAACCTAGTTTCAGAGAAAAATCACAGTAATTGAGTAACTACTCCTCAATGCCAGTTTTTTGACAGCCGCCCCATGTTGTTGTGCTTTTGGAACAAAGCTGCAATAATGGCTCCCAACTTGATGTGTTCTCTCTGGTCAATACTATTTAAAGTCCTCTTTTTCAAAGTCAACAGGCAAAAAAAAAAGTACAGTAGAGCCAACCAGAACTTGGAAAATTACTCTTTTGGGCTACAGTTCCTCCGGCCACACAGCCAGCATGACCTTTGGGATGGCTACTGGCCACAACAGCTAGATGATTCTGGGAGATGCTTCTTCCTCCCCACCCACCCCCACCTCAAGCATTTCTGACCTTCGGAACCAATACAGGAGTATTTTAAAACTAGAGTCATTCCCTCCTTAAGACAAACCAACCAACCAACCAAACAACCAACTAACAAACCAACCAACCCAATGTCTTAAATAAAAGAATTGTTTTAAGAAAATATCATTCAAAATTAGATTCATAGGAAGAAATGGAAGGTAACAGACATTTGAATTTTGGGGCATTGAGCCATGTTTCAGAGAGGCCATCTTTCCAAACCACCAGCCTGCCTCCCCGACAAGTCTGCTGGACAGGAAGATATTAATTCTGCCAGGACCAGTAGGACCTTTGCTGCCCTTCAGCATCCTGGTGTTGAAATGGGTAGTAGGTGGCCATCTATTCCCACTGCTTCGGCATCTCTCCCTAAGAACATGTGGAAGGGGACTAAAATGGGTAGTAGGTGGCCATCTATTCCCATTGCTTCAGCATCTCTCCCTAAGAACATGTGGGATTGCCTAAAGGTGATGAGGATGCTCCTGGAGAGGTGACTGTGGGGATGCAGAAGACATTGTCCCTGGGGACTTCTCAAATCTGATGCCTACAGAAACAGGAAACCCCCTTAAAACACTCTGGAAATATATGACAGAATAGTTTGCCATGTAATGAGTCAGACAAAGAGAGCAGCTTCTCCTGCTGCTACTCCTGTTGCATAGCTTTGCTCTATATTCACAGTATAGGATAAATTACCTCTCCATCTGTATTCTATAATCTGATTCTCACCTCTTTTTCTTGGATTTCTTCTCCTATAGACATCCCTATTCTCAGTACGAACCCTGGGAGAAACAAAATGTCAGTACTGTGCTTTGTTTTCCTAGACCACCAAATGGAATTTGCAGGGATGGCAAAGGATACTTAGATCCTAACCACACCGCCTTTTCCTCAAAGTGTGTTCCCAGTTACAGATATGTTGGAGACCACCAAATGGAATTTGCAGGGATGGCACTTAGATCCTAACCACACCGCTTTTTCCTCAAAGTGTGTTCCCAGTTACAGGTATGTTGGAGGGGGATGCTGGGAACTGTAGTCCAAAAAGGTGATTTTTTCCCCCAACGCTCGCCCATATTTGTAAGCTCTATAATAGCCAGATGAAAGTGGGGCACTGGAGAGACAGTTCACTCAAAGGTTTTGTGCCAAGAAATATGGCCAAGCCAAGGGTAGAAAGGTGGGATTCCGTAACATGGGATTTCACAGGGAATAGACAAAGCTGGTGTTATCTCATATCCAGCCACTGGCCCATCAAACCTGGCACTGGCTGCTCAGACTGGCCACAGCCCTCCAAGGTCTTCGGCAGAGATGCTTCCCAGACCCGCTGCCACCTGAAGACCTTTTCACAATTACTGGAGACACCAGGGATCAGAACCTGGGACTTTCTGCATGCAAAGCATGTGCAGTCGATCGCCCCTCGAAACCACCTGCCTTTGCTTCCACTTGAATATTTTCATCGTCTTGAAACAGTGACAAGTAAGGCTAAGAAGAGGAAATGGAGCTTTAAAAATACATCTTCTCAGTGGGAGTTAGTCTAGGCGGGGAAGAGAAGAGAAGAGAAGACAAAAAAAAGAAACTCAAACCCAGACAATATCTTGAAGTGCTTTCCTCTTGTTTAACTGGGGCACAGAAGCAAGAAATCTGTAAGCACATCACTGTGTCGGCAACTAATCTCCTCTGCTTCGCTGAAGCCTCTCCCTACACCAGGGAGATAATGTTAGAGGAATAGCGACAGCCGAGGAAGACAAGATGAAGGGATACAGAAGAGGGGAAAACACACACACACACAATCTATGCACACACACACACACACAAAAACACCGCAGTGGTGTTGGCTACTGGGAACACATTTACCAAACAAAGCAAGGTGTGGAAGCCTAAAGGGTTGAGACCAGCACCATCAGCTGGTGCCCTTTATAGGAGAGAGACACGGCATAGATCAGCCCCACACCTGTGGTTCCTTTTGCCTCAGTACCGGGCAGCCTGAGGGCTAGTCACTTGTGTGCAATATGTTATTGGGCATTAGCTTGCCATTTCAGTTCTTAGCTAGGCGAATGTGCTACTGCACTCCTTTTTGCAGAGGTAGTATTTATGCAAACACACAAGGCCAAGAAAGAGTGAAAGAAAGAAAAACACAGAAGGATGACATGGGCGGAAGCATCAGCCAGATGTACGTGACTAGGCAGGGGAAAAAAGAGCTTCAGAATTGGGGTCTTGGGAACTTTGAAAAACAACAACAACGGAGGAAGCTAATATTAGCAGTTGGTAACCAAGGGAGGATGTAGATGC